ACATCTTTTTCACCCAAACCCAAACCCAGATTCACACCCACACCCACACCCACACTCTCGACAGTTAGTCTCTGCATAGTTCGTTAAAATCCTTCAATATCATGCATTGTTCAAAGTTAAAAAAAATACTTGGTCACGTGACAAATTCTTTAGTGCATTATTCTTGTAGCTCAATTTTGTGTTTTTTCGCTTAACATAAAAAAATTCTGATCTGCAAAGTTCACTTATAGTCAAAAATATTATAATGATAGCAATGAAGTTATAAAACTGTGTCGACTTATATCCACTGGAAAAAAATAGTTAGACTCGGTATTTTCAATGTATTGTCACTATAAATTGACATTGAGAGAAAAGTAATTATATATGGCTATCATTTAAGTGGTCAGTAAAATAAATGAGATGGTCAGTAAAAGCATATATAAATGATCAGTAGAAATATTGAATTGTCAGTAGTATGACGGTCAGTAATTAATCATAAAATGGTCAGTTTTCTATATACAAGTATCAGTAAAAATTTCAAATTCGATCAGTAAAAGTGCAGATTTTATTAGTAGAAGAAATAGCTTTATTCATATAAAGATTAATTTATATAAGAAAAATAAATTAAAATAAATAGAAAAAAGCCAATGAGTAAATAAGAAGAAATCCAAAAGATCATTATATGAAAATTCAAAGAATGAAAGCAAAAAAGAAAATGAAAATTCAATTATTATACTAGCAATATAGGTTTAGCCTTCACTAGTCTACCTCTGTTTTCTTTTCTCATTGATCGAGACGTTTTTTTTTGCTAGTGGTTTACAATATTTCAAATGAACAGACACATCTACAATGTGTTTGCATATGCATTTTTTCAAAAAAACCTAAACAGTTGCATTTGATGTTTTCCAAGCTGAGCCATGTTTCATTTCCAAACACCAAATATTAAATGATTTTTGAATTGCATCAAAGTTGTCAATTTTTTTATTTATATATTTATTTAAATCGACTTATGTAATCGATTGTAAATGACTAGCTCGAATACAATATTATTCTGAAGCATCATTTGGAAGGCCAACTAAGTTTTTTGTTGATTTAGCCCATTGATAGGATAAAGTCTACAATTCTGAAGATATTGTTGATTCTGTAACAAATATTTTGCATTAATTGAAGAAGAGTTTCGTCCAGTTCATCAACTATCGACAATATTTGAAGCTATTGTCAAAAATCTCCATAAAACATGACATTCTCTAATTATTTAATCATTTTTGTTTCTTTTATTAATTGCCTCTAGGGCGCTGTTTACACGGGTGAGGTGATAGTATAACACGTTTCGATGTTTATACTTACCATTTAAATTAATTTACTGACCTTTAAATATTTTAACGAACCAGTTATTTTAATAACTGACCATTTAAATAATTTACTGATCATTCATTTTTTACTGACCATTCATTTATTCTACTGATCATTTCATTTATTTTACTGACCATAAATTATATTCCCATTATATATTCGGATAGCCCGTGGAGTTCTCTACAAACTGATATATAGAAGTATTGAATTGTATTTTTCTCTTGATAATAAATTCAAGTACATTAAAGGCACCCTCATAGTCAGATTTTGAAAAATTTTACATATCGTTCGTTTTTCTATATTTATTTTCAATACAAAGATAACTTATTCTAAAACTAAATACATATTCTGAATGTGCGTGAAATTCTCTATCACTCCATACTCTCCCAAACACCATTAGATATTATTTATTGACAAATAACAGGTACACTATTTATATACTCTAACTTTCACATTTTTGTCTATCTTTAATCAAGGATAATCTATTCCTTTTTGGAGTATGATAACAACTGCAATGATGCTCTAAGTACCACTATAGAAGACAATTCTAAAATATTCAAAAGAAGTACAAGAGTTCGTTTTAGAAGTGTACATCACCATTTTTTTATTTACAGAATAAATGACTGAGAATAACCAATGGATACTCCTCTGTTTTTTCCTTTCTTTTCATTTCTTAAATAGACGGGCGTTTATTAAATTTTTGTTTTTCTCACCGTTTTCTCGACAATATAGTCTATTCAGTCGTCAGTCTGTTAATTATACTTATTAACACATGTATCGGTCACGTAGCCGTTTATTTTCACTTTTGTTTCGAAGCTAGTTGTTCAGCTACGATGAGTAGTCATTTATCTGTCCGTGATCGTAGGCGTATTATTTCATTAAATATTGATCAAGGAGTCAATGTACATGAAATAGCTCGTCGGATACCTTGTAGTATTCAAACAGTTTATAATATACTTCAATTATTTTAAGAAACTAATGATGTGATAGAATGTAATGGACGAGGTCGTCTTCGGATATTGAATAATGATCAAGTTAATACATTCGACAATTACTATATCAATATCCAACAGATACTTCAAGCAGTATTGCTGATCGATTGCTACGACGGACTGGTCTAGGTATTAATCCTCGAACAATTCGAAATTATCGTTCATCATTAGGTTTTCGTCCAGTTCATGCACGAAGTCAACCGTTAATTAATGCAAGACATGCACAAGAACGATTAACTTTTTGTTTATCATATGCAGCGGCTCACTGTGATAATGTCAGCTTTAGTGCCGAAAAGACTTTTGAAGTAGATATTTCTGGTGTAGTCTATTGGATTCCAGCTACGCGTTCAAGACCAACACATTTTCAAAATCAAATTCAATTTCATGTCGTAATATTTGGAGCGATATGGTTCGATGGACGATCCAATTTAGTTTTCATTCATGGTCGAACAAATACTACAACTTATGTTGGATATCTTCAAGCAGCATTTCGTTCATATTTACGCCAACTGAGCGGATATTATTTCATTCATGATCGTCCAACATGGGCATATATTGTTCTTGCGCATGATTGGTTGCGTCGTAAACGTATTAGGTACTTGGACAATTTTCCGGCTGTCAGTCCTGATCTTAACGCCATTGAGAGCGTTTGGTCTTGGATGAATCAGTATACACAAAGAAATTATCCAAATTCACAACAACATTTAGAAATATTAGTTCAACAAGCATGGAATATGATTCCTCAAAACGTTATACGTGGATATATAAATAATGTACCTGTTATTTGTCAATAAATAATATCTAATGGTGGTTGGGATAGTATGGAGTGATAGAGAATTTCACGCACATTCAAAATATGTATTTAGTTTTGGAATAAGTTATCTTTTGTATTGAAAATAACTTAGAAAAACGAACGATATGTAAAATTTTTCAAAATTTGACTATGAGAGTGCCTTTAATGTACTTGAATTTATTATCAAGAGAAAAATACAATTCAATACTTATATATATCAGTTTGTAGAGAACTCCACGGGCTATCCGAGTATATAATTACTTTTCTCTCAATGTCAATTTATAGTGACAATACATTGAAAATACCGAGTCTAACTATTTTTTTCCAGGGGGATATATGATTTGAAAAATGTCAAGAATCTTGTTTTTTTGATTTTTTTTTGGAAAATTTATTTCTAACTCTCTTTAAAGTAAGACGAATAATGAATAAA